GGCTGGATCTCACTGCTTCCGCCATGGCCGCTGCCTCCAGGGCGCACAGCAGCAGGGAGCTGGGACGTGGGCTGGGACGCGGGCCCTCGCCTGCCTAGGGGGTGTGTTTGGAAAGGCGCAGTGAGCGGCACACAGCCAGGCAGACGTCGTCAGGAGGGCCCGTCGCGGCCTCTCTCTGTTCTGCTCCAGGGGAGAGCACGTGATGGGCGGGTGCTGCCCGCGAGGGATTCTCGCTACCGGCCTGGCGAGGTGGCTTTTTTTTTTTTTTCCCTGAGAAATGTGAGACCCCTGGCCTTGTTGTAAGAGAGGTGGACAGAGAGAGGGGCTCTCTCTGCCGGGTGCCACCTGCCCAAGGGCCGATGGCTGCTGGGCTCCGGGTTCCGGGGCCTCCTGGCTGCGTGCTCGGGGGTTGGCTGTAAAGTTGGAGTGAGATGCTGCATGGCGGGTGATCATGCAAACGAGCTCTCGAGAACACTGGAGGACCCGTAAGAAATGTGTGCGCGCGTTGCCATCATTCCTGTTAACTTGTTGCCTGGCATACAGCAGGCACTCAATGTGTGCTCATTGATAAATGCTTGGCCCCAAGGCCCAGTTCTGAGGACCTTGGGAGGTGTGAGCTGGGCTCCGGGGCTGGGAAGTGGGGGGTGCAGGCCGCTCGGGAGGGCTTCCTGGAGTGGGGTGGGGGCCGAGACGCTGCCGGGGCTCTGCAGCCACCAGGGGCCGTTTGGTGGATTTTCCTGAGGCCTGGCTGCTGGGGCTGGCGTTGCCTGCACAGGCGGCTGCCCGATCGATCGGCTCGCCGTTGATCTCCGTCTGCACCCCTCAGGGCCCTAGACAGTTGGAGACGAGCACCGTGTGGCCATTCCCAGGTGCAGTGTGGCCGTGGCGCTGGGACCCCTGGTGGGGGAGGAGTCTGCTGTGTCGCCTCTGCTCTGGGCCCGCTGGGTGCTTGGGCAGCTCCGTGCCCCTGTGTCTCCCACGGGTGCCTTGGAGGCTCGGCCAGGCTGCTGTGTGACAGAGTGACGCTGACAGGAGGGTGACGTGAGCTGGGAGGGGGCTGGGCCCCGATCGCACGGTCTCAGGTGCCAGGCGGGGGTTTCGAGCCTCCCCGTGGGAGGCAGTGGGGGGGCACTGAAGACGCCCTGCCCTCCCGGGTGGGCACTCGCACTCCCAGATCTACTGTACTGCCCTCTGGGCTGTCTCCCCACCCCCAGGCCGTTCCGGGAGCACCGCTGTGCCAGCCCGTGCTCCCCAGGGGCTCCTCCCGGCTCGTGAGTGATGCTGGGGTGTTTGCCGCTGGGCCTCCCCCCCAGCCTCCTGCCCATCACGCCGTGGCTGCTTCCACTTCAAGGAGGGCTGGCGCCTTTGATCCGGGAGCCTGTGGGGAGCGTGTCAGGAGCTGCGGGCAGTGACGCTGGCTCTGGGCCGGCTTCTGAGCCCCGTGGGCTCTTGGAAGGGGCCCAGGCGCTGCCAACTGGGATTCCGCCGCGGGCCTCGGGGCCGGGGCTGGGGCCGTGCGCTGAGCAGTGCGGAGATGAAAGCTGCTCCCTGCCCCCTCGGGGGACTCCAGGCCGTGGGCGGCTGGACGAGCCGCAGAGGCAGCAGCGCGTGGCAGCTCCCAGTGACAGTCGGGGCTGCTCGTGGGGCCGTGTGACCTTGGGCAAGTCACCTCCCCCTCCCGGCCCGTGTCCTCGTCTGCCCCGGTGCGTTGCGAGAGCTGAGGCCACGTCTGCGGGACACTTGGCGCGTGGTAGGCGTGGCTCCTGCTAGGTTCATTGCTATGATGGGTGCTCCATCAGGAGGGCAGGGAGCGCCCCAGAGGGGAGGGGAGGAGGGTGCTTCCGGGAAGCCTGGAGGCAGCAGTGGGGCTGCCTGGAGGTGGAGCCGGAAGGCGCAGGCGAGGGGGTGCCCGGGACAGCAGGAAGCTCACCGCCCACCAAGGCCGCTGAGAGCCGAGACCCAGGCCGGGGAGCCGCAGGAGGTGTTTGGTTGTTTTAAAGACTTGTGAAAGGCAGAGAGAGAGAGAGAGAGAGAGAGAGAGAGAGAGAGAGAAACATGAGAGATCTTCCTTCTGCGGGTTCATTCCCCAAATGGCCCAGCAGCTGGAGCTGGCCAGGTTGAAGCCAGGAGCTTCTCCCGGGTCTCCCACGTGGCTGGCAGGTGCCCAGGCACCCAGGCCGTCCTCCACGGCTTTCCCAGGTGCACCAGCAGGGAGCTGGACGGGAAGCAGAGTGGGCAGGACTCTCCTCTGTGGGATGTGGGCGTCCGAGCTGTGGCTTAACGTCTGAGCCACCGCGTCCGGCGCGCGGAAGGTTTCCACTTACTCGGAGTTGGTTTCAGGCACCTGGCAGGGAGGAGAGGTGCGTGGCGTGGGGACCGGACACTCCCGACTCGTCCCGCCTCGGCCAGTCTGGTCTGATTTCCCTCCGGCTCCTCGCTCCGGCTTCCTGCTGGCGCAGACCCTGGGAGGCAGGGGTGATGGCTCAAGTCGCTGGGTCCCTGCCACCCACGTGGGAGCCCTGGACTGAGTTCCCAGCCCCCATCCTTAGCCCGCTGGCTGTTGTGGGCGTCTGGGGTGTGAGCCAGCAATGGGGAGTGCCCTGTGTCTCACTGTCTCGCAAACACTTAAGAAAAAACCAGGCACTGACCAAGTAGCTTGGGGGCCAGAAGAGCAGGCCGTGGCTTCGTGTGAGCTCTGCCCGTTTCCAGCCCGTGACCTTGGCAGATCTGCTTCTCTTTGGGTCTTAGTTTCCGTCCTGGTAAGTGGGGCCCCTCAGAGGACTGGGGTGGGGGGGGGCGACGCCGGCAGCACGCTCGCCTCGCGTCCGGCATAGCGAGTGCTGGTTGTGGGGGAGGGCAGATTGCAGGGCCCGAGACCAGAGCTGCAGGCACGGGAAGGCTGCAGGAGAGAGACCGGGATGGGCTGAGGCCCCCAGGGCCGGGGGAAGCCACAGGCAGCGTCCAGCAGGCCTGGGGTGACTCTCAGCTCTGGTGCTTCCCCCCTGTGGGACGCTGGAGAGGCTTCTAATTTCCCTGAGCCTCAGTTCTCCTTTTCTGTGAAATGGGCCTGCTGACCTCCCACGGCCCAGGACCCCGGGGGACATCAGGCTCTGGGGAGGCACCTGCTGAGAGCACGCTGAGCTGAAAACCGGCAGGAAGGGCAGCGGGATCAGAGGAGAGGGAGCAGGGCAGGCGGGCGGGGGGTGCTCGCTGGTAATTAGAGCGTTTGAACTTCAAAAAGTTAATTAATGATGAAGCGGCTGCCGGAGTGATGCTCAGACCAGAAGGGGTCCCTGGCAGCGACTGAAATTAATTACAGGCTTTGGCGGGAGAGCGGCAGTGTGTGTGGGGGGGCAGGAAGGAGTGGGGGCCAGGGGGAGGGTCTGGGGGAGGGAGAAGGAGAAGGCAGCATCCCAAGGTGTGCAAGGGCCTGGAGATGCGAGGGAGACTGTTGCCGCGGAAACCAGGTCCAGATCCCGGTAGGCCGGAGGGGCTCGCCACACTCCGGGTGGGGTCTGGCTGGTGCAGCCATGTCCAGGCTGACAGCCGGGGCCCAGGCCCTGGGGTGGAGGCACACGGGAAGCACTGGGTGTCGGAGTTCAGCCAGCAGACACGCGTGGTGTGCAGTTAGTGGCCTGTTACGTCAGGGCTGCCCTGGGGGAGTAGGTTCTGGCAGTGGATGAACACGATGAGCTTGTCGGGATTGGGCGGAGTGACAGGTGCTTGGAGGGAGGTGCGGCCGCGGGAGGGCCTGCAGGGGGAGGCTGGGCGGGGACTCCAGAGGGGGTGACAAGACCCTGGAGCGTCTTGGCAGGGGTCTCCAGGTAGGCAGACAGCGTGTGCGAAGGCCCTGAGCTGGCGTGTGCCTGGGGGCTCTTAAGGAGCCACAGGCGGCAGAGAGGCTGGAGGTGGGTGAGCCACGGCAGCCTGGCTGTGGTGAGGGCCAGGGAGCCGGGCGGGGCGCTGAGCTGGCAGCAGGTGGTTTCAGCCCTCACTGCTGGCCAGTGAGGCCCGGTGGGTCCTCAGCGGGAGCCTCCCGTGGTCAGGAGGTGGACGGGGCTTGCCTGGGGCCCCGAGCGGGTCAGTGCTGACCACACGAGAGCTGCGTGTCTGGTGCAGGAATGCAGGCTGTGTGTGGTGATTTCTGCCAGCGCCTCCCCTCTCGGAGAAGCCAGCGGGGCGGCCTGGAGGTCCACCTGTGAGTCTGACTGCGGGTGCTCATGCTGCCTGCGGCTCGGCCCACGGTACCTTGGATTGCCCTCCCTTCACGGAGACAGATTCAGCCGCGGTGGAGACACAGGCTTGGGTGCCTGAGTAGTCCTTCGCTTTCTCATCCATGTGCTGACCGGGGGGAGGGGGCTGGGGGTGACCCTTCGAGCTCTGACCTCCCTGGTTCTGTGACTGGGCGGGTTGGGAACGGGGAGGGGGGACCGGCCATGCTCTGAGCCTGGGCAGGAGTCAGTCCAGGAGGGAGGGGGTGTTTGTGGGGTCGCTCTCAGCTGTCCAGACTTAGGCTGGCCCCTGGCTAATGGCGCAGAGGGAGTGCCCTGGGCTGGTTTAAGAGGTGGGCTCTGGACCCCTTGGCTGCAGACTTTCTGCCTGAGCGGGCGTGAGGAGGCCGAGCCCACGCTGCCTGGAGCAGGGGTTGGGGTCCGGCCAGCCTCAGCCGCACAGCGGGGCCCTCTGCAGGCTGTGGACGGGGCCTCAGCAGAGCTGGAGGGGGCAGCGGGTTGGGGAGGGGCAAGGTAGTTGGAGAAGGGAGGTGGGGACAGGAAGACGTCAGGGTGGAGCGGCTGGGGGAGCCCAGACCTGCGGGAGGGTCCTGGGGACCTCTGCTTCCTGGGCAGGGCCAGGGGCAGCCTGTGGGGGCTGGGTTTGGCCCTCCCCTGTCTGTTGAGGTGGGGGGGTCGGCTCCAAGGCTTGGAAGACTTGGGCGTTGACCCACTCAGGACCGGGGCGCCTGCCTGCGTCTGTGGCGGCTTTGCCCTTGACCCATGCACGTGGTTCGAGTGTGTCAGCATGCTGGTGATCCTGCTGAACTGCGTGACCCTGGGCATGTACCAGCCGTGCGACGACATGGACTGCCTGACGGACCGCTGCAAGATCCTGCAGGTGAGCCCGCCCCCACGCCCACCCCCACCCCCACCCACGAGCGGCCTGCTCCCCCGCTGTCCTCGTCCTGACCTGTCTCCCTCCAGCCCTCCTCTCCGTGTGGGGGCCTCTGACCCTGTGCAGGCTCCCATCTTCTCTGTCCTGGGCTCCCACCTGCCACGGTACAGGTGCCCTCCTCTGCCGCACCTGCCCTGTCCCCCAGTTCTCTGCAAAAGGGTGAGCGGGCGTCCAGGCGCTCCGCAGCGCGCGTCTCCCTAGGTCCCAGGTGGGGGCCTCGCCCCTGGTATCTGCCAGGAGCCGGTGCAGGCGTGCATACCTGTGGTGCAGGATGCTGGGTCACACCATTTGACAGATGCGGGAACACTCAGTGCCTTCCCCTGGGGAGGGCAGGTCCCCCGGGAGGAATTGTCCCTGCTCTTGGGGCTCCCCAGGACTCTGGTTTCCAAGCAGCCCTGAGCGCAGGGCCCCCGGGACCCTTGTTAAACTCCCAGACCCCTGGGCTGGGCCTCTGGCCTTGGCGATGCCCGTTGGAGCGCCTGGGTTCACTCCCAGCTCCGGCTCCTGACTCCAGCTTCCTGCTAACGCAGACCCTGGGAGGCAGCAGCGACAGCTCAGGTGACTGGGTCCCTGCCACCCACGTGGGAGTGCTGGGTGGAGTTCCTGGCTCCTGGCCTGGTTATTTCAGGCATTTGGGGAATGAACCAGAGGATGGGAACGCTTGCTCTGTCTGCCCATCTGTGTGTCTCTTTGCTTCCTGAATAAATGAACAACAAAACTAACAACAAGAAGTCCAGGCCCCTGGCCCCATCCTGGACTAGCTGGATCCCGACCTTGGGGCGGGTCTGAGTCCAGTGGGTGACAGCCCTCCACCAGCCCCAGGCCCCAGAGGTGCAGAGAGAGCGGTCTGCATGCCCCCGGCCTCAGAGCCCTCAGCCGAGAGTGGGCTGCACCGGACCAGGCCTTGCGGGTTCTGCTCCTGCCCAGCTCTGGTGCCCGCGTCCCCAGCGACACCGTGGCCCTGACCCTGGTCCTGCTCTGCCACCCTCTTGTCCCTGTAGGTCTTCGATGACTTCATCTTCATCTTCTTCGCCATGGAAATGGTGCTCAAGATGGTGGCCCTGGGCATTTTTGGGAAGAAGTGCTACCTCGGGGACACGTGGAACCGCCTGGACTTCTTCATCGTCATGGCAGGGTGAGCGGCTCGCACCGGGACCGTCTCGCTGGCCCGTGGGGCTCTTGGCGCCGGCGAGGCGGCCGTGTGGTGAGGTGGGCTGGCTTGGCTGAATGTCCCTGGTGACGGATGCGCCTTCCTCCCCTCCTGCACTGCCAGCGGATACTGGGGCTGTTTGAGCTAATTTACTGTGTGACCTTGAGAAAGCCACTTAACCCCTCTAAGCCTCTGCTTTCCCATCTGTAAAGTGGGAGGAACCTAATAGCTACCCCAAAAGGAGCACCCGGGAAATGGGAGCTGTTGCTGTTGTCACCCAGATCCCTGAACGTGGCAGACACAGAGCCCAGACTCAGCCCTGACTCCAAACTGCTCCTCTCTGCTGAGACCTGAGCCCCAGTCCCAGAGGCCCGGTGACACCTCAGCCCATGTGCACTGCTGGACCCTGCTCTGTGCCTTGTCCCTGCTTTCCTGGGGCAGAGCCATCCCAGAGGCCACCCAAGCAGGGCTGGCAGGAGCTCCCATTCCGCATCCATGCTGCCACACACGCCGAGGGTGGGAGGGTGGCAGGGGGCAGCCCCGCCCGCTGAGGCCCTGTGCACCTGCTGCGTGATAGATGGGGCTTGGAACGCTGGGGCTGGGGCTCTGGGCTAAGTGCTGTGGTTTGCCTTGGACACAGGAGCCAGACTGAGCCAGGCTGGGGGACTTGGGGACTTTGGTGCTTTCCTGGGTAGGAGGACAAGAAGGCATGGCCCGCAGCCAGGGACGGGCCCACACGGCAGGGGTGAGGCGGGCAGGGGACCAGGCTGGAGGCCGTGCGTGTGTGGGAGAGGATGTATGGGTGCTGTGCGAATACATGCGTGTGTGTGGGTTCACATCTGTGTGCATCCGTGTGCACATGTGTGTGCTTGCGTGGACAGCCCAGCACCTGGCTGAGGTGGGGGCTTGGGGGCGGGGGTCCCCGGGGTTTCCAGAGGCGGTGCCCTCCCCTCGGCATCCCTCCCGGGAGCTGCGTTCACTTTCACGGCCACGCTGTCCCCAGCGGTTCGGACCCCACTAGCAGCCAGCCGGTCTCGTGTTTCCCATCACCCCCTTGGTCAAGTTCATGCTAGATCTCTTTTTGGTTTGGCGGGAGGCACCTGCCCGCCCACCCCCGTGTTCTGTGGTCCCGGTGTGCAGGCCGTGGGCGTGGACGGTGCAGTGGTGCAGGGCGGCCCAGGTCTGCTCCTGTTTCTCGGGAGGTGGCCTGCCGTCTCCTGTCTGCAGCCTGCCGGTTTCCTCTTCCCTTAGGAATTCAGACCTCTCTCTGGGCGGGCCTGGGTGGGGCCTTGAGAGCTCAGGTCTTGTGTGTGTGTGTGTGTGTGTGTGTGTGTGTGTTTGTTTCCTCGGCTCAGAAGGAGGCCTGTTGCTTCTCTGCTTCTCTGAATGCATTTCCCATGACATAAGCTTTTTTTTTTTTCTTGAAAGATTGATTTACTTATTTGAAAGGCAGAGTGATAGACAGAGAGAGAGGGAGAGACAGAGAGAGAGGTCTTCCATCCCCAAATGACTGCAATGGCCGGGCTGGGCCAGGCCAAAGTCAAGAGCCAGGAGCTTCTTCCAGGTCTCCCACGTGGGTGCAGGGGCCCAAGCACTTGGGCCGTCCTCCGCTGCTTTCCCAGGCCACAGCAGGGCGCTGGATTGGAAGTGGAGCAGCTGGAACTGGAATTGGCGCTCCTGTGGGATGCTGGTGTCACAGGAGGAGGCTTAAGCTGCTTCACCACAGTGCTGGCCTCCTCCCATGAACTTTTAAAAATTTCTTTATCTGAGAGGCAGAGAGAGAGAGCGAGAGAGAGAGAGAGAGTAAGAACACACAACCATTTGCTGGTTCACTGTCCAGATACCTCAGAGGGCTGGGACTGAGGCAGGAGCGCCATCCAGGTCTCCCATGATGGTGGCAGTGACCCAGCCGCTTGAGCCATGGCCTGCTGCCTCCTCCCGGATCGGAGTGGAAGCCGGATCGGCAGCAGAGCCGGGTGCTCGGATGTGCGCCGCGGGCGTCCCAGCGGGCGTCTTCATCGGCAGCGCAAACACCCAGCCCTCCCTTTGTGCCCCTTTGGTTCTCGCCCTTTCTCTCTGCTCTCTGCTCCCGGAGTTGCTGTCAAGTGGGCCTTCCCCTCCTCTGCCTTCCCCCACGACCTTCGGGAGGGCCTTGCCTGGGTCCCCTCTGCTTCCCGCCCCTCCCCTGCTGCCTGCCCCTGCGTCCCTCCGTCCCCGGGAGCTGCTCGCCCTTGCTTTCCGCTCTCCTCCGAGCAGCTGTGCCTGGGCTTGGTCTCTGGGGCAGACTCTGGTTCCGGAAGTGACCTCGTGGCAAGGTCGCATTTTCAGAAAGTTGCAGGTTGTGACCCTGGCCGGCCGTGGCGTGGATCGCAGATTCAGTGCGCTCCGTGAGGAGGGACCCGGCGGGCGGGCACCCAGGAGGAATTCAGAGAGAGAACTGGAAAGGCAGTGGGCTCGGAGCCAGGGCGCAGCAGCTGTGGCCTGGGGGCTTCTCTGCTGGGTGGACGTCCTGTAGGCCCCTGGCAGGTCCAGACCCACACGTCACCGCGTGATTTCCCAGCATCCACAGCTTGAAGGAGCAGGAAACGGTCGATCAAACCAAGGGGTGGTCTCCTGGGTAAGGAAGCAATGCTAGGACGAGTCTGGGTAACCACTCCAAAATGGCATCGTAAGAAACGCTCCCCGTGCCTTATCCACACTCCGGGTGATTTTTTCCCGGCTCCTGTGGCCCCACTCACTGCCCCCCAGGAGCTGCCCTGTCCTTGGGGGGCCCTGGCTCCCTGTAGCTGACGGATCCCCCCACTCATCTTCCCGAATAAGGACGATGGGGGTGCGAGGGGCTGGCCTGGTGTGGGCAGTGTGGCGGGGCTCAAGAGTGAGGACTTCTCCTGGCATGGGAGGTGGTGGGGAGGGCCTGCCACCGGCATCCTCCCCGGGGTCAGGAGGGCTGGGCGTGGGGCTCCACGCTCGGTTTCCTGCCTTGCTGTCACCCTCTTGAAAATCCTCGGTCATCTGGGTACGAGGGGCCCTGCACTGAGCCCACGGGGTGTGGGTCGTCCTTGGCGGGAGGTCAAGTTCAATGGAGACGGTCTTGCTGCAGTTGTGTGTGTGCCCAGCCCTGCGCCGAGCGCTGGAGACTTGGGATCCAGACCGGCCGCCCCTGACCTCCAGGGCAGAGTCTCGCCCGGTTCCACACCCATGTGAGACCCCCGCCCCTGCCCTGGGCTGCCTGCTTATCCTCCCAGCCCCCCAGGCTTCATGCTATAAATGCCGGTTTCTGAGTCACAGGCCTGACATCCCAAATGTGTTCCCTCCCTTCCTGCCCCTCCCCTTCCCCACATTAGTGAGTCCCTTGAGCTCTGGGGGGTGACATGGGAGCTGTGAGTGGGAAGGTTCCTTAGAGGTCGCAGCCTTGCTGTGTGTGGCAGGCCCGAGACCAGAGGCCAGCCCTGCTGTGTGCTGCCACCGCAGGAGCCCCCTCCTCCCACGGCGACCAGTCTCAAACCGGAACAGCCTGCGCACTAGCAAGTCCTCTCGCTGATGGCCCCATTCATTCACTCAGTCTGCATCTATTGAGCACCTAATGCATACGGGGCCTTGGGCTGAGCAGGAGGGCACGAAGACAGATGAGGCAGCCATGCTGTGATGAAACGGGTCGTCACAGGGGTCAGTGCTGGAGCAAAGCGGGGTCCGGGCCCCGGGGTCATGGGTGAGGGGCCCCCCTTTGATTGGGGGGGTCAGTGTGTGCGGTGCTGAGCAGGAGAGGCTTGGCGCCAAGTCAGGGCTGGCCAGGCAGCGGTGGGGACAAAGATGTCTCGTGGGCCACGTGCAGAGGCCCAGGGGGGCGCTGAGGAAGTTGTGGGGGACTGGAGGGAGGTGTGGGGGCCCCAGGGGCCCTGGTCAGGCAGGGGCCATGGCCGGCCGGGAGCTTTTGACCCGCAGTCTCAGCTCCGGGCTGACTCAGCCGCTGGAAGGCGGCTCCTGTCCTCCTCGAGTCCGGCCCGCGGGTGAGGGGTCCTCAGTCTGCCCACCGCTTATCAAAGAATGGTGTCCCCAGGGGCCTCCCTCGGGGCTGTGTCGGCCCCTGGCCTGAGAACAGGATCCCAATGTCCCAGTGACGGCTTTTGGGATGGGGGACTGGGTGGCCTTGGCCCAGCCAAGTGCAGGAGTGTGGTACTGTCCAGGGGCTGTGCTCCTGCCACCCGCCGGGGTCGCCGTCACCCTCCAAGCCGGGGCTCTCCCATCTTGGAACTAAAAGCAGGTGAATGTTAAAAACCCAGACAGTAAGCTTGTGCATTGCTGCTCTCAATGCTGTCTTGCAGGGACCTCTGGGAGCGCGGATTTAGCCGCTCTCGCTACTTGCGCTCCCCGTGCTGGCTGGGCCGCGGCGCTGAGCCCTGCGGCACATCACCGAGGCTCTCCTGCAGGGCGTGCCCGCGCCTCTTAGGGCACAGACCAGCCCACCTCACCGTCTCATCTAAGCCACACTTTCCGCCTTTGTCCATTAGGAGGTCATGATGTTGCTGTTGAGCTTGAGGTATTCCTGGCCTCTTGCTCGCCCTTGGCGCACTATGCGGGAGATTCCACCTCCTCCCCCAGGTGGAAACACTGACTGGCCACTGCCGGCCCAGGCTGGGCCCCTTGGTTAAAAGCTTCCCCGAGAACCTGACTCCTGGTCTCTGGGGGACTCAGGCCGGAGGCGTCTCCAGAATGAGCCCTTCCCAGGGTGTGGCCTGAGTGGCTCTGCCTCGGATGCGTGTGGGGAACGGCAGCTGAGTCCTTGCAAGCCTCCGCTGGTGTCGGGGTCTCGGGGGCGCCCGGGAGAGGCCTCCGTGTGGCCGGTGGAGCAGCTGAGGGCGGCGGTGCAGATGGTGAGTGGGCAGCCTCCCGCTCCTCAATCGCACGCCCAGCCCTTCACCGCTCGGGGTCCCCTAGGCACCTGTTAGAATGCAGATTTGTGGGCCTCAGCCCAGGGACCTGGACCC